ACGAGTAGTAAATGACCATTTACATGTTCTTGGTTTATGTAAGTCAGATCAGCTACTGTTGATTCTGGAGTAAATGCACATTTACCATCAAATTTTCTTCTTTTACATTATAATTTATTCATATAACAGGAACATATTTCTTATTTTTTATACTATTGAGTCCATTAAAAACATAAGCATTGTTTGGAGATGCTTTGATATATGCTTATTCTTTAGATTAGTATGATTTAGTTTTAGCTGCTTCACTTTGATAAGAACCGCTTTTAGATCAAGGAACACACTTAGCTTCATCAATTATGCAGACTCCACTCAGTATCAGAAATAGCAACTTTATTTGGAAGTTCTCTCAATAAACAGGATGTTTCAGTCCATCAACAACTTTCATCAGTACCTTCATTATCACAATCTGAAGGGATTAGATATAAAGAACAATTCCTTTATCAATAAATTAGGTTCGATTTGAAACAAAAGTGGAACCAAAATCAGCACATGCTAATAAGTTAGCACAATTTGTATTATTTTATGCTCTGTAATCTCTGCATTGATATTCTGGTAACCATCTACATTTAGTATTATTAATACCAAATGTACATTAACAACTCATCTTCTTATTATGGTAATAAATTCCACTAATAGGTAAACATGAAATTCCAATGCTGTTCTTTAAGCAAAGCGCAGAGTTTCCGCTAATTGCATCTAGCAAACCAAGTGTGGCATGCTTCATTTTATAGTTACTGTTACATTTCTGTATTATCTTTAACTACAAGCAGCAGTTATAGAATTCCAAAAGCATATTAATGATTTTTCAGTTGTATTAGAAGCTTTGCAATAAGATTGGGATTTTTATGATGAGCATATTCCTTTGGCAGTTCTACTGTTAGTAAAAGTTGAATCTTTTTCTTCACAATCTATATGAGTTGTAATAGATTTATCATAATTTTTAGATGAGTAATCTCTGCACAAATTGGCGATAGCATAGTTAAACCAGGCACATTTATTTACATTTAAATTGAGTATTCACACAAATAGTTTGATATTTAATTAATGAACTCATGTAGATGGTTAAATTCTGCCGATTAACATGATGTTTGAGAAGTGTAATCTCCATATCCAACACTATATTAACATCCTATACTTGATGTTTTACAAGTTTGATGATAATCTGAACATTATCATTCTGTTGTAAATGTTTTAGGAGCTTTATAACAAATTTACTAGTACAAGCAACAGGACATGCTGAAACAGCACTTTTTTTGTATGGACCATCATTAGTTGTGAATTTTTAGCATGTATGATCAGTTCTTTTCAAGAATGAACATTATTTTCCAATATCTTAACATTTGGTTCAATTAGTAATACATAATTATGCAGTTACTGG